ATAAGCCCTGTGAGTTCAGGAAGAGAGACTCTGTCATGTTTCTTGTAATTCTTTATAGTTCTAGATCCCGGACAAGGACTCAACCCTACATTTTTGATTGGAGAAGAGTCTTCTGTACCCTTGTGCCTGCCTTACACCGGACCGCCTTCTCTCCATGTGCCCCTCACAGCCTGGCCAGGAGTGGACACCTGAGTCAAGGTCAGCCTATGACCTTGAGATTAATTACTGATGGGGCTCTTCCCACAAGCAGTCTCTACTAGATAGTATCTATTTCAACCTATTAGACCCCCTTATGTAGGGTCTGAAAATGACATATCTAGCGAAAATCATCGATCCGTAGCAGGATGGAGACCAACTGATATTCAAAAAGAAGAGAGTAAGCAGGAGCTATAAAACAGAAAAAAAACAGACTAGAGTCAACAAAGAGTCAAAGAAAGAGAAGTTGAAATGGAGTAGCTGAGTTGCCGTAGTAAAAATACTGGGGCAGAGAAGGTGTGACTACTAGCAGGACACATTCATGGGTGTGTGACCTGTGACCTCGCAGCCTTGTGCTCAGAAAGGCCTCCCACTTGCTGTCATAGTCTTGAAATTCTTAATAAGTTTTAAACAAGGGGTTCTGCATTTTTATTTTGTACTGGGCCCCACAAATTATGCTATGAAGGTGACTACAATGTCAACAAAGATTATGATTTTTAAAAAATGAAGGGTTGGGATTTGGACAGACTTGAAACTGAGAGGGACTGATGTCGCATCCATGCCGCTCCATCCTCAGGTCTCCAGACCCACCAATCACGGCCTGAGCAGGATTCTGTCCACTGCCTCCAGGATAGTCTGCTTAGAACACGAGCCACATCACTCCATTTAAAACCCTCCAATGGCTCCCGACACCCTTGGGTCAATGCCCTGTGTGATCATGAACTTGACACTCTTCAATGCACCTACCTTTGTCTCAGAGACAAGTTAAGGACAGGCTCGGAGCAATTTCATTGAAACACCCTCTAAAAGAGACACCAAAATATAACTGGGCACTAAATTGTTACCAGAGAAATATCTCCTCTCAGAGATTACCGCATGTTTTCGGAAAGTTTAAAATACAGGGTGAAGGGGAGCTTAGCAGGGGAATTGTGACCCTTAGCAGAGGTGGGAAAGATGAGGCCCTCCGAAGGGTACACTGCAGGAGTAATGGAAAATGGCCAGAATGAGATCGGAGGTCAGTGGAAAGGGACAATCTGAAGTAAGGAGACCCCAGCTGCCATAGAATGCCCACTTGGCTGAGTCGTATGTGATGTTTGGGGTCGGAGCTAAATTAGGACAGCGGATCAAAGGAGCATGGCCTCCTCTCCTGCCCTTTTCCAGGCAGAGCTCAGCCTCTCATTTCAACAAATGCTGAGTAAATATTTAAAGAACAAAATTTTAAAGGGTGCTGAGTTATCGGACTGCAGGGCCAGACATGTTTCAGTCTGGCATTGCTCACCCTTGCTCTCTTTTCCTGTCTGGCAGGTGTGCACTGTCTCTCTCTCTCTCTCTCTCTCTCTCTCTCTCTCTCTCTCTAATTTCTCACTTTGTCTCTCACCTTCTTGCTCTCCCTCACCACCCTCCTGGAAAATATTACCTCAGGGACTTCTCAGAGGCTCTTTCCTCTGTGCTTTCCTTCCTCTGCATCTGTGGTCCAATCAATCAGGGCTCAATGGCAGGATCAGATGAACAGAGGGCACTTCAGGGATGGCAGGTACCAGGCAAAATAGACTTCTCTCCAATTCCGAAAAGTAGGCTCTGGAACTACAAAGAAGTATAAGAAATATGGTGAAACCCGAGTTCTTGCTACGAGGCATCTCAAAGGACTGCGAGCCCCTCAATGATGGAGATTGTGTCTCCTGTTCTATCTCTGTCCTCCCCTCCCACTGGGCCCAACCCTCCCATTGGACCAGCCCCTCCCAGCGGTGGCTACAGCACAGACTGAGGAGTTGGAGCCCGTACTGGATTCCCGGCCTCACCACTGAATGTTTATGTGCCCTGTGCATGGTTTTGTTTTGTTTTGTCTTCTTTTTCTTTTCTTTTTTAATTCATCTCTGTGCCTGGTTCCTCATCTGTAAAGTTGGGATAACCATGGAACAATACCAACTACAGAGCCAGTAGGATTAAATGAGACAATTCATTACTTGGCAACATAATTGCATAAAACATTTTAATTATTAACGAAGTGTCTGGCACTTGGTATTGCTTTGAACCTCTCAACCCAGTAAGTGCTGAATAGATGTTCCTTGCATTGAATTGAACGCTAAGTCCCAGTGCTAAGCTCCCATCACTGCATGCTCACCTCTCTCTAACCTCACTCTCCTTCTTGCCAGAATCCTATCTGAAGTTGAGATAAGAATGACAGGAATAATCCAAATTCTCCATTCCAGGCCCCATAAAGTATTTTGAATTACAAACAGAAGCAGAATGTTTTCTGGCGGAATATTATTATATTTTCTTGAAAGACTCTTTAAAATATTCATCTACCACACTTAGTGAAAGGGGTCCAGTTTGCAAAGCAGGTGGGAGATATTATGAAGGTCTCTGCTGAGCAGTGGAAGAGTGTCAGTTGGTGGGAATGTATTGTGTGCAGTTCATGAAGCCCCAGGGTCTTGACGGCGGCATTTAAATGTTGGCAAGAATAGCACTGAAAGCAAAGCTGACACGTGAAAGAATGAGGGGCCCCGGGGCTGCCTTTTGTTCTTTCAGAAAGATCATAGCATATTAATGGGAGCAACTCCTAATTCTTCCTCAGCGGCTGCCACATCAGTCTGAACACACGAGCCTTCCGTCTTCTAGATGGTCTATTTGATTGTAATGGAATGAAATTTAACAGGGCCCTTCCTTCCTTCCTGCATTCTTTCCTTCCTTCCTGCTTTCTTTCCTTCCTTCCATCCTCCCTCCCTCTCTCTCTCCCTTCCTTCTTTCTCTCTATCCTTTCTTAATTCAATCAAGAATATTTAAGGCCATCTACCAGGGACCAGGCAGTAAACCATATTGCTCTGATACACACCCTCATGAATCTTACAGTCTTACCAGGAATATAGGCGCTGAATGTTAACAAATTGGAAGTTGCCATGAGAGTGAGAAGATATTGGACCCAACCTGGTCTGGAGGGTGAGAGAAGGCTTCCCGGAAGAAATGATTTTCCTCTGAGACCCGAAAGATGCTCAGTTCTGCTAGGAGAAACTGGCTAGGCAGAGAGGAGTGTGGGGTCAGTCGGGGCACTGGGAGAGGGCTCTCTTCTGAGTGACAGGGGCACATGGGACCCAGGGCTAAACCTGCAGCTGCTCAGCAGAGCCCCTCGGCCCTTCATTCTACCACGTCTGTACCAGGGATGACTTTGCCTTCAGGTGAGATCAGCTGCCATCTCCTGTTGTGATTCGAGGGGATGTTGTGCCCCACTCTGGGCTTGGTAACAATCAGCCATCACTTCCAGTTTGCGCATGTGGAAGTCCAGTCTCCGAAAACCAGAGCAGGTTGCCCCAGACTCAGCACTGCGAGAGGCGGAGCTGGAATTGAAACCCAGGGCTCGTGTCTCTAAAACACGTGCTAGTCCCATAACACTCAGCTAACTCCTAGATGGCCTTCTTAGGCAAGTCTTCCTGCCTGCAAATACCATCTTGACGCAGATGCCTGAAATTCCTCCACCAGAGAAGGGTCGATACCTTGGAACAGAATGTGGTTCTTTTTCCATGTCCCTGTTTTAAAAACAAACACTGAGAGTTCCTTGGAATGTTGTAAATGCTCACGATAAAGAAAAGAGGCCAGAAGTTTCTTAAAGTTGTCCTTATTGTTTAAATCATGAATACTTCCATATCTTGAGTCCTTTTATTTCTTAGACAAATACATTATAAAAAATTAAAATTTTTTAAAAAATGAAATACTCCTTGGGAGGGGTAACCTGTTAAGTCAGTAACACTTAAGAGCGTATATGTTTTCTGGGAAATTTTCATCCTAACAAGAGAAATGAGGGCAGCTCATAAATTATGGGTGCCCACTGAAGTTTGAGATGGAGAGGCAGAGAATACAGTGCTGAACATAAATATCATCTTCCTCAGGATTCTACCTCATACCAACTCTTCTAAGTTATGAGAAAATATTCTGCATTCCCCAAGTCTGGCTCATATTTCCACTGGACCTTTGCTCAGTGTTCACTCTGGATGGAGTATCTTCTTATCCCTTGAAACAGATTTCACCTCCTCTAAGAAACCTTCGTAGACCTCCTTAGTCAGAAATCATCCGTGCCCTTTCTCTTCCGTACTCTGCTGATAGCTCTGTTATTAATCCATTATAGCTTTAGTACTCGCCCTAAAGTTAATTAGGCATTCACCTGTTTCCCCTTCTAAATCGTGAATTCTCGAGAATCATAGCTCATTCATTTGTGTATCTCCCACAGGGCCCAGCTTAGTGCTGTGTACACAGTAGGGGCTTAAGAAATGTTTAAAGACGTGAAATGAAGATACATTCTTCCTAGCTTGAATAACCGTTCAGTAGGAATTTCTCCATAAACGGCCAGAGTGAGGAGGTTTTCAGCTCGAGCCATTTGCAGGATTGCCATGGCCTTGATGGGTTTTCTTTGATCGTAAAAGAAAAGTAATCCAAATGCTCTTTCCTGCGATGAGAGTCATAATTTCAAGAGACAGAGCTGTTCATAGGCAAACATTTTGAATTCTGTACTATGTTCTCAGCCAATTAGAAGCAATTGGATTTATGAATTTTTTATTTTACTGATTGATTTTCTATTTAGTTTCTCCTGAATACGTACTTAAAAATCTTTCCATAACATTCACCCTTTTCGTTGATTTCTGGCCCTAGAGAACCAACCTTTCAGCAATTATACAAGCCCTTCACACATTTTTTTTTTTATGCATTCCACTTCTTTTAAAGTGGTTTATTGAAATCCTCTCCAGATAAAAAACCTTGAAATCATTAAGCAGATCACTGTTCAGAACCACATTAATTCTTCTTTTTTTTCCTTAAAGGAGATGACTGGTGGACAGCTTAGAATAGCAATGAGGTATGGTATTTATCTATAATACCTCTTCCATGATGAATAACTAATTTATACAAAATCCCATTACTCAGAACCTTTCAATCATGGTAGAATGAGGTCTCTGATTTGGGTCCTGGTTAATTTAGAAATGGCTTCCCTCCCTGGGGACATTCATTGCTGCTGAGGCCAGCTGGTGATGGGCGTGAATTTGAACACTGCAAAGCTGGGAATGTGAGTAAGAGCTTGTTAATTCCCAGTTTAAAATAGCCTGTGGGGCCTGGGGCCTTGCCCACTGCTATTTTCTCCAGGGATTTCAGCACCTGTCCAGCATCCTCTCCCTGCCCTAAAAGCTACCACCACTGTCCTGATGGCTGTGGTGTCTACAGGGAGCTGGACTTCATCAGCACCGAGAGCTGTTGAAGCATGAAGCCTCAGACTCTAGGAGAGTCCCCTCCTTGACCACAACCTCTGCTGGCCTGGCCCTGCCTCCAGGAAGCCGTGTTCCTAAACCTCATCACAGTACCCACCATTGCTTTCCTACATATAGAGGAAGAGCTGTTGGGTCTGAACACTGGCTGGGCCCTTCCAGAGCATCCTGCTCAGAGATTTTAGCCTAGGAACCCTCACCTTGAGGGAAGTCAGCCCTGAGCGCCCCATAAGGAAGAACAGACAAGAAGAGAGCTGCTCTGACTGAGGGGTGTGTGTAGACTCCCAACTACTCTTCATGTCGTATGTTCTGGTTTTATAAATCACAGAATGGAAGCCTAAACATGTGGGATTTTGAATAAATTAGGTTCCTAGCCCCAGACTTTTGCTTCTACAGGTAACGCAGAGCCTCAGCCCCCAGCGAAATCCCTCTTCGCGGGCACCTCCCGCCGAATATTCTTGGCAGGCTCCAGAGAGTTTCTCTCATAAGATCATGAATGAAATCATTCAGCTCCCCACGTGGGCCCAGTGTGGTGTCTGTGCCCCATTCCCCTCTCTCCCTCCCTTGTTGCACTCCTGGGCCCCATGTAGGTGCTCATAAGTCCCAAAGGCATGGCAGCCACCTTTGCTGGGCACGCCTGCCACCCTCTGCAGTACCACTCAGCTTTGGCGAGGGCCCCTGCTAGGAGATGGGAAGACCCCAAGCTTGACCTCCTCCTTTACACAGTCCATTCTGTTCAAAGGATACCAAAGCAAACTAATGTCCCAGAGTATCATTTGTGAAAATAGCTGTTTGAATTTGCTCATAGCTTCTCTCCAATGACCTGAATTTTGAGTCAGTAGAAGGCTGGCATAAGGACCCATCTGTGTGCCTGAGAACTAAGCTTTGGTCCCGGGCCTGGCTGATCGTCTGGATTCCACCCTCCACAATGAGTTCCCATCTGCGGGCTCTTCGGTTTCTCCAGCGAATCATTTCTTCTGGCAGTTCACCAGATGCACTGACTCGCAGTGGTGGATGAGGTATAGACAGAAGCTGGGTTATCTCCTCTGGTCCCATCGCTGGACTCCTCTCTACTCACCCCTGCCCCTAAACACACAGTAGAAAAAAAAATTGTAAATAATTTAAATCAGAATTGCTCTTTACCAAAATGACAGATCAGGGTATTTTGAGAGAAGACAAGTTTCTAAAAGCGAAAATTAAGTTTATCTTCACTATGCGTCAAGGAGAACTGATACTGGAACAATCAATTTAGAATTTTGATCAAGCAAACCAATTATATTGCATGATCTGAAGAGAGCACAATGATATAGCTACTCATTGGGAAATGTGGGGAATTTATACACACACACATCCCTAAACCAGAGAGGAAAAGAGGGCACCTTTCCCATTCCCATTTCCTCCCTTTGGGATTGGTTTAACGCTTTGCTACATGTGAAATAACAAAAATTATACATTGGTCTCTGCCTGTCATTCCTGACACAGGGTTCGTAAAAACCTTGTAAATTCCTAAGTGATAAGAGCACTGGGAGCATCTTTTGTTCTTGTCAGGCGACTCAAAGTGGCCTCCCTGATGGATCCTGAATGGGGGCTGGTCACCAGAAAGACCAAGCCATGGCTAGAAGTTTGCCATTTCCAGCCCCACCCCGCCTCCTCTAGAGAGGGGAGAGGGGCTGGAGATGGACTTAATTGATCATGACTGGGTCATGAAGCCTCCATAAAATCCGGAAAGTATAGGGTTCGAGGAGCTTCCAGGTGGGTGAACACATCCATGTACCGGGAGGGTGGCCTACCCCAACTCCACGGGAACAGAAGCTCCTGTGCTCTGGACCCTCCCAGACCTCGCCCTGTGCATCTCTTCATCTGTCTGTTCATCCGTATCCTTTATCATAGCCTTCCATAAACTGGTAAAGTGTTTCCCTGACTTCTGTGAGCTGTTCTAGCAAATTGTTGAATTCCACAGGGGAGGAGATCACGGGAACCTCCAATTTGTAACCAAGACGGACAGAAGTTGTGGGTAATCTGGGGACCTACTACTCGTGAGTGGCATCTGAAGTGGGGGTGGGGGCAGTCTTATGGGACTGAGCCCTTAACCTGTGGGATCTGATGCTAACTCCAGGGAGCTAGTGCCAGCATTGAGTTGAATGTAGGGCACTCACCTGGTGTCACAGAGAATTGTGGGAAAACCCCCACATCTGGTGTCTGAAGTGTTGTGAGTGTGGTAGTCATGGGAAAATAATGGAGAAACCCAGGAGGAGGCCTGGGAGGTTTTCCAACACACACTCCAAGTGTGGTCCACAGACCAGCCACATCAGCTCGTTAAAAACGCAGGCTCTCAGCCCCCACCACGGAGCTGCTGAACCAGAATCCGGGTGTTAACAATGTAGGAGATGTGTACACACTTTAAAGTTGTGAAGCACCTCTTTAGACATTATTAACCACTTACGCATACAGAAAATATGTTTCAGATCCTTTCAGAGTTCACATGTGAACGAGGTAGAGGAAGAAAGGAGTCTTGAGGAACTTGGAGAGGAATAAAGAGAAAAAGTGATTAGGAGGGATGCCGGGAATGCTAGAGGAAGAAAAACTTCTTGCTTCTCAGTTTTGCCAAAGACTGGCTGTGGGCACCAGCCTTTGCAGTTGAAGCCAAGAGGAACACCATCCAACTGTGTAATTTCAAACAGGAACTGTGGGGTTTTCTCCAACTCCACTGCTGGGCCGAGATTCGGGACACCGGCCCAGCAGACCCGGACCCCGGCTCTCCCTTCCTGCCAGATTACAGTCCCAGAAGGACCGTTTAAGAAATTGATCGCTGGCTTGGGAAAGAAGACATATTCACTGTTGATTTTCCCTTGAATGGAATCAGTGAACACTCCGCCTCCAGATTTATTTCCAGCCGCTGACAACAATGTTCAAGACATGTAGGTGGGAGAAGAAAATCCTAACTTTAGAAGGTAGCAATGATACATCCCAAGTTTCTTTCTGTTTAAACCTGCTTGTGCTGAGGCAGTTAGATATCTGCAGAACAGAAGTAGGTAAGTACCTGGCCTTGCAAAATAATGCATCTCACGGGCAAAGACGGGTGGAGGTCAGCAACTAAAACGTGTGAAAACCAGACCCGTCTGTTCTCTGGGCACTTCCACTCCTCAGCATGCTGTCCTAATGATGAGTTTCCCACTGGGAAAGCACCAGAGAATGGCATTACAGGAATGCAGGTGAAACCTGCACAGCCATGCGCCTTGGCTGTGCCTTCTCTGGCTCACACTTGGTCCAGCCATGGGATCAGTCAGGGATGGGAGTGCAGCCGCGTACACACTCTGTGCTCACACCCTGCTCTGGGGAAATACCATCATCCTGTATCCTTTTCTTTTCCACTCAGAGAATCTGTCTTGGTGACCCAGGAAATCCAGGGCTTGCTACCAGATGCTGTGCTGTGGACATGGGGCCTCCGCTTGGCCGAACAGCACATCAGACAATACAGAATTCGAAGTGGAGTCAGGGCGATGCGGCTCGCTCGCTGCTTTCTGAGCTGCGGGGACAGGCTGCTATTAATCACTCCAGGTCCATCTATCAGGCTCTTCTCATTTGGCCACGGCTCATAGTCACAGAGGCACCGCCAGGGGCCCCTGATAAATCAAATCCAACAGTTCCATGATAAGGATGACACAGGTGAATGGGGGACAAAAGCGTACAGTCTTAACCATGTGTCCACACTATTAAAAAAGTGGAAGAAGGATATGTCTGCTGACTGCCAAGTGCCAGAGACTATTAATTTCAATCTCTCTCTCTAATGCTATTAAATCTCCACCACAGCCCTGTGTGGAAATGAGGATTATTCCTGTGTTCAGATGAGGATGCTGAAGCTCAGAGAGGTTAGGAAATGTGCCCAAGGTCACACAGTCAGTGACTAGTGAAGCTAGTATAGAACTCAGGTCTAAGAGAATGGCGGAAATAACCAGAACAGAGAGGCAGATAAATAGTAGAGAATTGAGTGAGGGGGCTTAGAGAAGATGAAAAGAGAAAGAGGGAAAAAACAGAACAAGAGGAAAAGGCCAGGGGCAGAAAGCAAACTGCCCTCATTACCCGGGTTCCTGTGCTGGGGTCCCAGCTTGGCCACTTCCAGGCTGGTGACTTGGTACAAATCTTATAACCACAGTTTCTGAATCTGTCAAATGAGCTTAGTGATATCCAGCCAACTGCTTTACTGGTTTGTTAAGAATCTGTGTGGAAAGTTCTGCAAAATTGGAAGTGCTGTACAAATGGAAGCTACTCAAATGGTGTTTAGAGGATGGGCGCGAATCAAAAGGCCAGGCCTCCAGCATCAAGTGAAAGAGAAAGTCTACCATATAATGAACAGAACTGCGAGGAGCCCTGGCTTCGGATGTGCAGCCGCCTTGTAGGAGCACCTGCCGGTCTTGCTTCGCATCGCACCCGCCCCATGCAGGGAGAGGTGAGCCCACTGCCACCAGGCATTTGCTGCAGGTGGAGAGGGCAGAGAACTGAGCCTGCTGCTTGTCTTTCCACTGAGGTTTCAGAGCGTGGAAAGCCCTCCCTAATCCTGCAGGGGAATCCAGAGTAATCACCCCTTCCTTCCCGGGCCAGGAGAATATCACTGAGTTGCCCAGTGCTTGTGTTTTATACTTTTATTAATGACAGCCTGGTAAGATGACGAGAACAAAAACATGGTGAATTTTTGTGGGGTTGAGGGTGGGGAGGGAGGAGATCTGGGAGGAAGGAAACAGGAAGTTTGCAAGTCAATTCCAAGTAAGGGATTAACACGACAGGAGTACTGAAGAAACTTTGTTGTGAAATGAAGTCCGGAAAGATGAAACCAGAGGTGAATAAGTTCATTGGGGAAGCTTCTCTTGTGTTTTTGTGCAGGGCAGAGGGCCAGAAAGGAGAAGGACTCATATGAGCAGTTCCTTTGAGGCGAGGACCATACAGGCATTTTTGACTCGGAGGCCAGGGAGCTCCCCGGAGTGTTATCTGGGCTGAGCTGGAAACAAGGCCTGGCGGAGTCTATTAATGTTGCCCGACTAAAGATGAGCACAGGGCTGCATTTGTAAATATCCACTGTTCAGGATGTGCCTGGAGATTTCCGATTTTCTTCAGTAGCACTGCCCGAAAGGTATTGCAGGAAGATGCCGCCAGATGAAGGAGAAAGGCCTACATCCAAAGATGTGCTCCTGAGAGGAGGACACAGGAAGCTCCTTTTTGCTTTTTCCGTCCTCCCTTGGGAGGGAGGTGTAGTGAGCTGGATGGTATCCCCTAAGATATTACTGCATCCCAACCCCCGGACCTGTGCCCATTACCTTGTTGGGGAAAAGGGTCTTTGCAGATTTGATGAAGTGAAGCATCTTGAGACGAGGAGATCATTCTGGATTATCTGGGTAGGCCCTAAATGCCATCACAAGTAGTCTTGAAAGAGTGAAGCAGAGGGCGATTAAACAGACACACGGAGGAGAAGGTGATGAGATAGAGTAACGGGACTTCAAGCGAAGGAAGGAACGCCTGGAGCTCCCAGAAGCTGGAAGAGGCAAGGAAGGATTCTGCCTAGAGCTTCTGGCGGGAGCGTGGCCCTGCCGACACCTTGACTTCACGCTTCTGGCCTCCAGCACGGTGAGAGAACACACTTCTATTGTTTTCAGTCCCTACATTTGTGGTAGTTTATCATGGCAGCCATTGGAAACTAAAACACTCTGTAATGGGAAAAAGTTACCCAGCGGCAGAAACGACCCGGAGTCCTCTGACCTCCCTCTTGGCTCTAGGACTGGGTCTGTTTGCCAGGACCAGGCAGCGGTTCTGTGCCAACCACGTGTGGAGATTCAGAGGGCAGGAGACCCCCAGTGCAGGCTCTCCACAGAGGTGCACCTGAAATCAGGGGCCAACCATGAGAGGTGAGGACCACACTACTGGGGATGAGAAACAGACACATAAAACGGGAGCTGTACCTCCAGGATCTCATCAGATCCCCGGCAAGCCTGTGAGCCAGCCCTGAAAGCTCAGAGAGTTGAGCATGGAAGGAGTGGCTCTGACCTGGTTTGGAATCCCAGCTTCCCCATTCAGTGGCCATGTGACCTCTACCCCTCACCCCAACTCCAGTTTCTTCATCTATAAAATGGGAATTATGAAACCTACCTCACAGGCTTGTTGGTGTGAGGTTTAAAGGCAGAGCCCCAGGCTTCCTGAAAGGGCCTGGTAAAGGGCTATTTCTATTGTTGCCCAAGATCACAGAGGTGGTGAGACAGGTCTGCCTGATGTGCAAGACACGATCCTTCTGGAGCCGGAGGCTGTGCCATCACGCAGGGATCAGACTGTCTACGTGAAGTTGCTCATTTCAACACCCACACACCACCAGCTCTGTGCCGGATATTCCTGCCATGCTCAGCACCTACGGTCTCTGCTCCCCAAACCACTGGGTTACCAACCTGTCAACCACATTTCTTAGATGCCCCGGCCAGCAGGCCTCCACTTCAGTTGCTGCCCATGGGAGGCCCCTGCAGAAGAGCAGGAGGCAGACAGAGAGATCCTTTTTCTGGCTTCAGCCCAGGCCCGGGCGGCAGCTGTCCAACACCAGCTCCTGCGGGGCAGCCGCAGTGGGATCCTGCAGGGCCGCGCTGCTCCCTGCCGCCTTCGGCTTCAGAAGCTGCTGCTCAGCCTGCGGGCTCAGAGGCCAGTAGGTTCCTCCGGGATTGAGGGGCAGGGCGTGACTTCTTGGTGGTACCACTCCTCCCATCCCCATTTTTGCTCCTTCCCTTCCAACAACGTGGAAGCTTCACTCCCCATGTGAAATCTCTCTTCGTTTGAAATACCTGCAGTGACCTCCGTTTTCCTGACTGAATCCATGACCAGTACATCAGTCCTCTGCAGAGGCATGGGGCTCAAAGCGTAGAGATCTTAGGGGCCCCAGAAGGCCACCTTCACAGGAAATACAACCTTACATTTTCAATTAGAGATAAGCCTTAGGATAAAAGTATGCCAGGGAAAGCTATCATATTGGCTCCAGTACCTACAGGGGGTCATTGATTGCATCAGAGTCTGTCTTTAGAGAAGGTTTTGTAAATAGGGCAGAGAAAGAAGAGAGCAGAAAGCAGGAAGGCAGAGAGAGGCGGCTGGGATGAGAGACAGGAAAAGAGACAGAATCCCACAGAGAGAGGACACAGTATCCGTGGGGGAAAGTACAGGCTTGCCCAGCAGCCCTGACTGTAACTTCACTTTTTTTTTTCATTTTTTTTAAGTTGTGGTCAAATACACATAATACAGAATGTATGATTTTAATCATTTTTAAGCATACAGGTTAGTGGCATTAAGTACACTCACATCGTTGTGCAACCGTCGCCACCATCCATCTCCACAGCTGTGACATCTCTCCAGACTGAGACTCTGTACCCATCACACACAAACTCCCCCTGCCCCTCCTCCAGCCCCTGCCGCCACCACTCTACTTCCCATCCCTAGGAATCTGGACACTCCAGGGACCTCATGTAAGTGAAACCATACAATATTTGTTCTTTCTTGTCTGGCTTATGACGCTTAGCACAACGTCTTCAGGGTTCATCCATGTTGTGGCGTGTGTCAGAATTTCCTTCCCCTTAAAGGTTGGCTAATATTCCACTGTATGTACATACCACCTTTTGTTTATCTAGTCATCTGTCAATGGGCACTTGAGTTGCCTCCACCTTTTGGCTATTCCAAATAAGGCTGCTATGAACACCAATCTACAAATATCTGTTCATGTTCCTGTTTCCAATTCTTTTGGGTAGAAAAATTCTACACGGAAGTAAATTTGTCAGATCACATTGTGATTCTAGGTTTAATTTTTGAGGAGCCACGATACTATTTTCCACAGTGCCTGCAACATTTTACATTCCAACCAGCAATGCACAAAGGGTTTCAATTTCTCTTCATCCTTGTGAACACTTATTTTCTTTCTTTTTTTTTTTTTTTATAATAACCATCTTATTGGGTGCGAAGTAGTATCTCATTGTGGCTTTGATTTGCATTTCCCTAATGATTAGAGATGTTGAACATCTGTTCATGTGCTTATTAGCCATTTGTATATCTTCTCCGGAGAATGTAACTTGACTTTTTCCAGGAATTAAAAAGAGCATAAAGAGACTTAAGTCTGCAGGAAGAAAAAAAATGTGACCCCCTCCCCTACATGAGCTTCAGAGACTACGAAAAAAATTTTTTTAAGCATTTGTGAGATCACATTCCTTACATATATTGGGTGCAAATGAATGCAGAATGGGATTTTTCTGTCTAGTCAAATAAACTTAATCAGGAAGCAGATTCCAATATAAATTCAAACAAGTTGTGAAATAAAATGCATAAAAGCACATCAATTTCCATTGAAGGATGCATAAAACCCTATAAAAATAGAACTCCCCTTGTCATCCAAATTGCGATTTATATGTGTCTGGGCTTCAGAAGTCGAGAAGCTGCTTTCTAGGCTCCTGCTGAAGGGAGGAGGGGCGAATGCGAAGAGAACAGCAAATCAGTGAGAAGAAGAAACAGAACTGCTTCCTGGCTTCTCTCTTTCCCATCACACCTGATGCCCACATCAGTGGTACTTGGAGCCATGCAGGAGATAAGGCTCTCTGGGGGCAGGAGGAGGAGGAAGACTGCCCGCTCACATCTGCTAAGAGCATTTGTCTGAAATGGGCATGTGGGAGGGAGTCTATCTTCAAATCTAGACACAAGAGAGATCTCATTTGCTTTCATAATTCCTTCCCCCTCCCTCTTCATATTTTTACTCTAAAGTGTGTGCAAATTATTCAAGCATCTGGGACCTGATTCACCATCCCTCCCTCTACAGCTTTTATTAAGCTTTGTGCCATTCACAAAAGGATAGCAATGAAGTTAATTAATGGGCAAGCTAATTGGAATCTATATTGCATCAAATTTCTATCTCAATGTTTTTGGCAAAAAAAAAAAAAAGAAAGAAAGAAAACTGTACCAATGCTAACAGCGAATGGAGTGACTGATACAGAGCAGATGTTCAATATGTATGAATGAATGAACACCCGAAAATCTGAGTCCCCATCATTTCTTCCCTGAATTATTATAATTGCTTCCTAATTGCTCTCCTTGCATTCCACCTAGTTGCTGTCCACCAAGGCGTGTAATTGGGAGTTACCTTTAACTCCTCCTTGCCCCCTTTCCACCAGTCATCCACAGTCAAGGGCTACTGTATTGCCTTCTAACTAAATGTACCCCATTTCTGCTCCTCCCCAAGCTCTCTGCCATGGTTTAGTTCCAGCCCTGATCAAATATCACCTGGTTATATTAATAGTCTTCTAACTGTCCTCTTTTCCGACGAACTCTCCACATTCTAATACATCCACTAAAATTCCAACACAGTGATCTTCCTTTTCAAATTAAATGACACCAGGAATACCACTTTCAGAAACTTATGTAACAGAAACTAGAAGCCTATGTAACGTTGTTTAATAGGCATGCGTATGTGAAGAATATATGTACAATGATGTTCACTGTATCATAAATTGTCATACCAAAAATTGTGAACAAAACAAATATCAATCTATATAGGAATGGTTAGAGAAATTGTCTATAAAGTGAAATACTATGACAAAGAAGTAGGTAAGCATAGATGAACTGGCATGGAAAGATGTCCACGATAGGATTATCTTCAAAAGAAAAGTTGCATACAGCTGGCAGAATATATAGAGACAGAGCATTCTGTACAAAACACATATGAATTGTGTAAGACAGAGTTAACAAAGCAGGCTGACTAATCGTTTGAAAGATTTGCTTACAAGATTAGTCCTTGGCTGGAATGTGGGAACTTGGAGTTCAAGAGAGTTCCCACCATTCCCAACTGGTAAAAGCGGCTCACTAGCCTAAATTGTTTGTACCAACAACGTGGTTTATGCTCAACACTTGCTTTCCTTCAGGGAGTCTGAAATTTTGATATGTACCAGTTAGAGGCTGCGTGTGACCAGCCTGCAACAAAAACCCTGGACACTGAGTCTCTAAAGAGCTCCCCTGGTAGACAGCATTTCACACATGTTGTCACAATTCGTTGCTGGGGGAATTAGGTGTGCCCTGTCTGATTGCACTGGAAGCTTGTGCCTGGCTTCTCCCAGACTTTGCCCCATTCACTTTCTCCCTTTGTTGATCTTGCTCTCTCTCTTTTCACCGTAATAAATCTCAGCCAGGAGTATGACTATATGCTGAGTCCTGTGAGGCCTCCTAGCACATCACAGAACTTGGGGGTCGTCTCGGGGTCCCTCAACTCATAAATACATAGCTTTATTTATGTATGCATAGGAAAAAGTCTGGAATCACTGGGGATTTTTACGTGTTAGTAGTGTATTGAAATTGCCATTTCACCTCTTAATGTGTAGTATTTTTAAAGCTATGGGAATACAACCGAGCTTTAATTTTTGTGTCTTCAGTAACTCACCATGTTTTCATGATTGCTGACACACACGTCCCTACACCATGATGAGTCCCTGGGGGGAGAGGTCCTGTCTCACTTATGTGGAACATCTCCAGTGACTAGCATTGACCTAGTACATAGTAGGTGACATAGTAGAATTGATGACGCTAATTGAATTTGAAAGAAAGTCAAGCAGAGGGACCCAGCAGCAATTTAGAAATAACCTGAAAAGTAGTATTTACAGGTAGGATCTCCTTTCCTTTTGTTTCAGATTTGCAGTACCTTTATTTCCCGACTTGTTTCAAGCCTCCCCAATTTTCACTCCTATTTAGAAGAGATAGGGAAAAATAAAAACAAAGAACAAAAAAAGAGAATTGAGATACAGTTAGATGAGGATAGAAAAATAACTACAATTTAAATTTCCTCTCTCCTCCGCTCAGCCAGAGGCGATCAGTTCACCCTTTCATTTAACATAGTTTATCCAAAGGAGGACAGTGTGTCTTCTATCTCAAAGGACTCTCTGTTGGCAGCCCGAGCGCCGTAGCAAAGAAGGACCTCGTCTGTGAGGTAGGCAGGGAATGAAAAAATGTGGAAACCTTTTAAATGTTCTTCCTTTTGAATGTGCGGTTTTGTAAGACTGATTAAATACCTGAGAGATTGTAGGGTACCACGAGGTGACAATAAGCTATATCAAGTGTTTATTCAACGCCTCAGGTTATACTAACATCAAATTGTTGGTTTTTTTATTTCACCTGATATGTAAAATTAAACCATCACAGATTCAAATTCGGGAGCCAAATCCTGAAGACTTGTCCGAGTGTAGATTTTAAGGGGACATAAGTCATTAAAGACCCACACAGGAAGACTCAACTACTGAGTAAAAAGTAGGTTGTGGGGGCCAGCCTGGTGGCATAGTGGTTAAGTGCACATGTTCTGCTTCTGCGGCCCTGGGGTTCGCCGGTTCGGATCCCGGGTGGGGACATGTCACCACTTGGCAAGCCATGCTGTGGCAGGCATCCCATATATAAAGTAGAGGAAGATGGGCACACATGTTAGCTCAGGGCCAGGCTTCCCCAGCAAAAAGAGGAGGATTGGCAGCAGATGTTAGCTCAGGGCTAATCTTCCTCAGGAAAAAAAAAAAAAAAAGCGGGTTAGGTCCAACTTACTTTCTTTTGAGTTTTAAACTCCATCTTAACTAGGAGCCTGTAATTCAAGCTGGCACTGAGTCAGTATTTTTTAAATTTCTTCTTGCTTAATCATAGATATGCCATGTATTATATAGACAGCCACAAACCAAGATGGCACAGAAATGCATACTTCATGTATGTGTATGAATTTTTTTATCTCCATATTGCCGCCAATCTATGAAATATCCCCACTTGAAAATGAATAGATTCAAGTGGTCAGGCTGGCCCTACCCAGGATCCGAGAATAATTTAAAGGCGTCTAAAACCATAATTTAGAAACCATTACGTTCCCCTCTGAGCTCTTGGGGCCATGGGCTTCCAGCCACGGTCTGGAAGAGGGTTTATCCTGGTGAAGGACCAGAAGCTGTTTTACATGCTGAAGAATCCATCTCCTCTAGTTATAGAAAGTCAGAGTTCGCTTGACATTTTCATTCCTAATCGCCATTTTTCAAAGTACATTCACACTTCAGTTGGTTCTGAGTGGTCATAAATGGTGTCAGAACTTGCCTGGGGTCCATCTCGATGTTCCCATAAGGTACACTGTTTAGCAAGTGGACAGATTTCTTCCATCTGCCATAATATATGGCCCACAAGAGGCCAAATACAAAATAGCATCTGTGTGTGTGTGTATGTGTGTGTATAATTGTATCATATCTCAATGAACAGCTAGCTTCTCTTTTTAAACAAAGGAGGGTGGGGGAAAGTTGCCTGTGCAGACTTTGGCCAATTTCCCCCTTTTACATATGGGTTTAACTGATTAATGAGAATCAAAGGTTTAAAGTCAAATATACGAATTAGAATTCAACCCAATGCACAGTAACTGAACAATTAATTATTTGAATAAAGCTCACAGGCAGTGAGTCATGCATGTATTTTAGGGAGGAGCGTTCCAGGCAAAGGAAGTAACAGTGCAAAGGCCCTGTGGCTGAGGAGGGAACGAGTCAGACGAGAGGCACTGTTCCGGGAGGCCAGCTGTTCAGGGGCCAGATGTTGTAGGGCCTGGAAGCCATTGTAAAGACTGGCTTTACTTCGCATGAGGCAGAAAGCCACTGGAGGGAGAGTTTTAAGCAGAGGAGTGACAGGATCTGATCTAACTTTAGCAGCGTCACTTTGCTGCGCTGATGAGACCAAGAGCAGCATAGGTGGAAGAACAAGGAAGATGTCAGGAGCTATTAGAAGAAACGACAGAGTCTTGGAGTAGGGTAGAAGAAACGGTCCAACTCTGGATGCGTTTTGAAGGTAGAACCCTCAGGGTGTGCTGACTAGTGGAATGGGGCGTGGGAGAGAAGGAGAGGTTTTGCTGACGAGCAGCTGGAAGAATGAAGCTGGCGTTAATTCTTCATCTCATTTCTTCTTTCAGTAAACTGCAGCCATCCGTTCTCCTGGAGTTAGAAAGATACAGCACCAGCGACCCGATGGGCGGACAGTCTTTCTCAGCCACAGGGCAATTCCAAGGATGCGTCTGGGGACTGGCCTGGGCCTTCCCAAGCTGCAATCGTCTGAGCCTGGGCACGTGGGGCACCAGAGGCACGAGAACAGGGGAGGGGACTAGGAGCCAGTTTATTTGAGGAACTGAGTCATTCCCCCCAGGAGGACCTTCCCCAAAAGAAAACAGAGTGTGAGTCACCAGACTGATGACAAAGAGTCCTTAGCATCAGGACGGGAGGGGAACTTCCAGAATCAGCACAGGCAGCGTCTGACTTCTGACGGGTTCTTCCCCAGCCCAGACCTGCACTGACTTCTACCTGGGTCCCAGAGAGAGGATGTGGTAAGACCTGAAAGAGCAGTTTCTGCCGAAAGCTCTGTGGGACCCCTGGCCTGAGCTGTATCCAGTTGGGTCCTCCTGCCAGAGTGTGACACTGTCCCGGGCCTCTTCCCCCCCACCATGCAGGGCTGCCTGGGGCCCAGCGAGTAAAAGAAAGATAGATCTAACCGGGCTCACTCATGAGTGGATGCAGGGGATCCCCTGGGAACTCCCAGAAAGGCTTGAGGGGAACCACACTGGGCCGCAGTGCCTGCCTGCCTTCAGGGCTAGAAATAACACTGCAAACGCACAGACTCTAAGTCTTCGATGGAAGTTGATTTTTTAGGCAGAAAAAGACCTGCCTGTGCTCCCACTCAGACCTTGGAAGGGGTCTGACAGCTGGGAGTTGGGATTGCCCTAGGTATGGCCAGGGTGGCTTTTGCCAGGGGCTAAATTTGGGACCAAAGGAACAGTATGATCCACACCAGGGATGGGAGTCTTCACGAGGCTAAAACACAGAGATTGGAATGTTTTTGCCTTTTTTTTTTAAAGTGCGACTCTGTCGGAATTAAAATTTTTTTCTTACCCCTTGTGTGAGGGTTAAGTTGCAAAGTGAGAGCAACTATGACGTTACGTGAGAGAAGGAGAAAGTGGGCTCAGGGGAGCAACTGGCCATGGGCTCTGCACAACTGAGACTCTACTCTGGTCCCAGCTGCCAGTGGACCCCAGCCCTGGGATTCCTGACCTTGGTGTTCTGCATAAACACGGGCAGGGGAGCTAACAGGTGGGGCTCTACTTCTCGCCTCCAAGATGCCTTCACCTGCCTCCGGGGTCCTCACATGCTGCTCATGGAATAAGCTGGTTTTCCTTCCACCATAGGTAAAGGGGGGCTTGAGTGCTCCCAGAACCTGTCCATCTGGGGGTGTAAACAACCAATGGCTCCCTACTGGGGGTTGGAAAGGTTGGTGAAAGGAGGAGGTGTAACACTCAGGAGCAGAGTGGGGTCAGCCAGTTCAAACGCCAACTTCACTCCCCAATTTCCGCAGATCTTGGACAAATTATCCAACCCATGCAGTGGATCTCAACCGTGACTGTACAGAAACTCACCTGAGGAAACTTTAAAAATCCCAATGCCGAGGTATCATGCCAGAGGAGCCAAATCAGAATCTGGGGGGTGGGAGCCGGGATCAGTATGTTATTAAAGTTCTCCTGGTGCTTTCTATGCCCAGCCACTGTTAAGAGCCATTAGTTCTCAGGCTCCACCCCCAGGGAACTGAAACAACCTCCATGGGGCCACGTTTTACAAAAACTTCTGAGTGCTTATCACTGGCAGTTGGGGCTGACAGCGAGACTCTCTCCTTGGGAATGAGGCGAGCGTGCTACACGCATCAGGCAGTGGTCAGGATTAAGGGAGATAACATGTAAGGCACTAAGTTACTTCTTGGTTCTCAATAGGCATTTAATAAATGGTCGGTATTATTATTTTAAAAATTATTATTATTGTTGCTGTGATTATTAGAAACCACAAGGGGAGAAGAGGATGAAGGAAGGAGACCAGAGGTCATAAATACAAACTTGGAGGCATTCTAGGGTGGCCAAACCTAACTCCACCGACTTTTGAGTTAAGCTTAGAACGCTAGAACCCTGACTTGGCCGCTTGTCTAGAAACGTCTCAAATTCCAATTCCACGGCCAATCCCTGATCGTTAATCAGAGCTTCCACCCTTATTCTGCCACGGTGGCGTGGTTCCAGAAGTGGAGGTCCCGGGAGGAAGCAGCTGCCTGGGTGTGGTCTGGAAGAAGAAAGGGAAGTTTGAAAAGAGGCTCCAGACTGTCCACTCTTTAGCTTTGCCGATATCCCTCCGCACTAGCCGCTGGGTACCGCAGTGGACTTGAGTGAGAGGAGACACTTCATCAGTAAAAGGCCGAGGTGCCTAGGCAGGCCCTGCCTAGTGCTGTCAGTGACCCCTGGATGGGAGCTGTAAAAGGACAAGAGGACAGCTGTCGCCTGGGAGATGCTGGGTCCACAGGGACCTTCTTCCTCCACCAGGGAAAGCAGTTCAGCTCTGGATGTCCCTTCCTGTCCCTTGGCAGCGTGCCGTGTGTCTCAATGTCTGCTCCTTGAAATCAGACAGAGCTCTCAGCTACCGGCTAGTGTTTGCTTGGAACACACACATAACTTCTCTGAACCGCAGGTACCTCATCCAAAAATTGGGCCGGTAATACTTACTTTGAAATTGGCTTCGTGAATGAGAGACAACTTCCACAACTGAATTGAAGTCAATGAAATGAGGCAGCGCAGCAGCCAGCCCGGGGAAGAAACTCCCAGAGCACTGACCTCCTCTCGGACAGGACCTTCTTCAACAGACCAGCCTCCTTGTTTCGACCCCAGGAGTCTCCACGGGGGAGCAATGAAGTGCAGTTGGCTCAGTTAGAAGAAACTCTTAAGGAAGGAACTGATATGTCCTGCGCTATCTGTTGGGCCCCTATAAACACAGCCTTTCTACAGTGAAGACACCAAGTGTGGTCTCAAGGCCCTGGTTCATTAGCGATGTGGGCTCCAATTGCAGCCAGGGAGTCAAAAGCTGCTGCCGTCTGAAAGGCCCATCACAAGTACCAATGCCAGCCCCGCCCTGGCAGGAGGCGCTCCCTTTAACGACTGCTCACTAGGTGATTACCAGGAATTAATTCAGGAGGGAAGATAATCAATAGATGGCCCACTGAAAGTGGTCCATTAAGGCAGAACGGCTCTTCTCTTCACGTGTGACGAATGGTGCCTTTAAAGTATTCAATACCATAATAAAGGTTGTAATTAAGTGAGGCAACTTGGCATCTTTATAACTGCATGCTTGGAAAGATTTAAACTTCAGATTGAGACACAGGGTAACATTCATAATCCCTCAAATGGGTTTCCTTTCTAGAAGAGAGAAAATAATGTCTGACTCTTCTGAGAAGCTGACGGGGCAGATCTGTCTCCAGATCTTTCCAGAGTTAAAAGTAAGAGGTGACTTTGAGCACCTCCTCTTTGGTTCTCAGGCTTTCCTGGCTGGCTTAATTATTACCATCCTCCTAGTGGGAAGAAGGCAGGAGGGGAGAGGCCCGGGGGAAGCAGTGCTGGTCTGGCAGCCTCAGCAGTATGCAAATCCCTGGGCCACACACAAATGACTTCACGGAAGTACAGTCAGGCTTCCCAGACCAACTCATCTCTATTTCTGTTGCTTATTATTAAAAGACAAGCACTTATGCCATCACGTGTCCTTTTGCCTTCCCTCATCTGTTCCGGAGTTTGCACATGCAGACCGCATACACTTCCAATTAAAATCCAATTTTTTCCTTCCTCTGTAGGTTTGAGTAAAATTTTTTTAAATGCAAATTTCAGATACATATTATAATTACAAGTCTTCTATTTGGCAGTTTGCAAAACGGATGCACTTTGTAAATTATCATCCCATCCAGGAGATACACATCAACCTCTGGACATTTGCAAATGGCTGCAGACATTGTCAAATATCCCCCAAGGCTTAGGGCTGTGAGTCTGTGAAGAGATTCAGCAAAAGAAAGAAGGAAGATGCTTTCGTTCTCACACTTATTTGTTTGGCTGCACACTGCCTTTGATCACAATCTGTGGAGAGTGTTTATGGAAAAATCATGTATGAATCAGATAGTGTCGTCCTGGGAGACTCTGAAGCCCGGTGGACAAAGAGTGAGCCTGTCAGAGTCCAACCGCGCTCGCTCTCTGCCACCCGCCCCTCAATCCCAGGGTGCCCCCATCGCGGTCATTCCAAATTCTGAGTATTTAGCCATCTCTAGTAGAGATCATAGATTTCAAGAGTGAAACAAAATGCTTGCGGAGCCCATAAGGGAAGCTTTTAAACTTAAAACTTATTAAAGTTGAACTTGGTGTTAGGTGAAAATATCTTGCTTTGTGTGCTGGGGGAAGGACATGAATGTTTGTAGGGGACACAGTTCTCTTCTGACTGTTGGACAAACAGTGCTGTCCCAAGATGCAGAGGGGAGAGGAGCCTTCTCGGGCCTTCTCCGGGCTTCTCCCTCTCCTCCGAGTTGAGCCTGGAAGAAGTTAGTTTAAGCGTGCCTACCAGCTGCAAACACAGCCACCGAGGCGGTCAGAGTAAGTCCTGCACTTATGTAAGGCTCAGATGCTGTACTTTCAGATAAAATGTAGGGACTGACGAGCGTATGCAGGACATTTAGCTGTTTAGAGTTCAAAGAAAACAAAAGTGATGCTTCTGGCAGGGCTGCCTTTGTGCAAAGCGTTGAAAACTGCTCCTCTGGATCACGGCTTGGTCTAACCACCGCCCACAAGGCTGCCCTTTCCTCCTCTGGACAAAACCCCATGCCGGGAAGGGCTCGCTGCTGGTGAGGGGAACTTGGGCGGGGTTGCAGGCCCCATTTGTCCCCTCAGGTGGCTGGGTGCCCTGGTGGTGGCTCTGAGCTGCCAAGTTGCATTGGGGTTGGATCTGACTTGCCGAGTTGCGCTGGGATTGGACTGAGAGTACCCGGCGCCGGGGAGATGAGGGTGAGAGTGGAGTCAGAGCTGGTCCGGCAGGCTGGGCCAGAGTGGAGAGGGGAGCGGCAGGCACCTAAATCCCGGGCCCGCCCAGAACTTCAGCAGGTGGAGCCCAGGCAGGCAGAGAGCTGCACCGCTGCCTATTGCTCTGTCCGCCCAGAGTGTGAAATCGCCCCTGGGAAGGTTTCAGGGACTGGATGCGGCAGATCCTGTAGCTTCAGCTGTCAGAAGAGGTCCCAGACGAAGATCACAGTTGTCTGAAGGCTTCTACTGCCTTAAAGGTCAGAGCGAAGCTTGCCCAATCCCACTGTGGTCAGGCTTCCTCACTGCCATTGCCGAACAGATGAGAATCCACACCCCTGGTGCCTTCATTCATTTGTTCAACGAATACTTACTGAGTGCTTGGAATGTGCTGGGTGCTGTGCTCAGTGCTGCGGAGATAGTGCTGAGTGAGAAAGATATTCACCCTGCACTCCTGGAGTTTAAGGTCTAGCAAGAGAGATCGACCCTAAATAAACACTTACATGAGTAATGGCACATTTAGTTGGATCATTGGATTAAGCGCAATGCCATTGTCCTTCGAGGGCTTGGCCAGGCACGGGGGCTCTTGACAAGCTTTCTAAAGGAACTCAGGCTTAATTTGGAGAAGTGCAGACGCGCCATGTAGAGTCAGAAGGACTTGGAAGGCCATCTGGTCGCCCTGCCCCTAGTGCACAGATGAGTGCATACAGGGTCATACTGGGTCAAGAGGAAACTCGCCCATGGTCACGGGGCTTGCTGAGCCCACAAACTGAATTCGAGAATGTGTATCAAACCATGTACCAGAGTATGCAAACGTGTACCCTGATGCACGCTTCAGAATTCTGCTAGTGGATAACAAAAGGCAGAGGGTTGGAAAGTCCCAAATTACAATGCGTGTGTTTGATTTTGGAATATATGTGTGCATAACCTAAGAATCTGGGTGTGGTTGGAGTCCTGGGAATTTCCTTCAAACAAAATGATGAAATTACACAACAGTGACCTGACTCACAAGTTGCCAGGAAGCTGTCCAACAGCTCCACCCAGGTCATTGCTCAACTCTTCTTCTAAGCCCGCGTCTTCCTGGGAAAGTGGATTTCTTGGTGTCAGAATGAAAGAAGACTTCTTTGCCCCACCTTTTTCTTGGAGGCACAGAACTCACATTCAGGCAAAGTAGACAGGAGAGAGTGTTTTATTTCAAACAAGCTAGAATCAAACTAAGTTGGAGAAAACTATTACTAGTAAGTATCCAGGGTGTTTCCAAAACAAATATCTAGCGTACTTTCTGAGGACTCTGCCCCCATTCAAGAAGTCTGACGTTACCGGAAGGTTTGGGAATCCCCTAAGGGCTGGTTTGCTGCTGCTGACAGATAATTTCATAATGCTCCTCCTTCGTGGCTTCCAGAGGCTGCTCATTAGGCTGAGTAGTTCCGTGAACACATTATTTTCAAGAGATGACTTAAATTGAGCATTGGTGGAACTGTTTGAAGATACTTTTAATGTAGTGGTTAAAGTTGGATGACGTTACAATCCCAGTGAAGCATCTGCTGGCAGGAATACTTTATATATTTAAAGTATTTTAATTGTTTAGGTCATAAAAATTGTGTATTGAAATGGTGTGAATTTGGTTGATTTCACCTTGCAGTCACCCTCTGGTTCAGTCTATGAGTCACCCTGATGCCACAGTTTCACTCCACCAAAGGAGATTCTACCCCAGAATAAAAGGATCCGAAGGAATAAGTTTCAGATTTCTTTTTCCTGTGTTCTCTGGAGCCCAGTAGACTGCTCAGGTACTTTGCTGCCACTCAAGGGAGTTACTCAAGAAGCCAACCTCTTCCTGTTTCTTCTGCTCAGTCTCCCAAGGACCAGTTGAGGATCTAGGGGCTATGGCAATAAACTTTTTCAGGAAGGCAGCCTCCCCCTTGGGTGTCATATACTCCTTTGTCCATACCAGTGTTGCTTAATGGCACCTACCTAGAGTGAAAAGAATCTTGCAGCGAGGGCAAGGGACACGCAGATTCCAATTAGAAATGTGGAGATTTTGAAATGGGCAAAAACGATTCCTGGGTGTTTTATCCAGGAGTCATCTCCATCATTCATTGTTTTTGAGATCTTTTACAACACTGTAAGTTGTAGAAAACTGATAATGATGCAAATTATTCCTATGCATAGAAATGTACATGAATTGTGTCTACTTGAATGCAATTGATTATTGCCCTGTGGATACTCACCAGTTTTTCATCTATTCATTTTAGCCTTCCTGATCGCTCATATATATGTCTGCTCTGGATTCTCCTTTGAACCACTTGTAACACTGTATTGGCTTTCTCATTAATTACTGAGTTAAATAAAATCCCTGACGTGTTCGTTTTATATTTGTATGAGTGTCAAGATTTACACTATCTAAAAATATTAGCCTTTAAAATAAAGGTAAGCTGTATCTCATACAATACAACTGTGGAAATATTTCTTAATATGGATGGAGATGATTATAAAGTAGGAGATTTTAACAAGTTCACCTCTATAAACTGCCTAAGATGATAACAGAGAAGAATATTAACTAAAGTAACTGAAATACTGAAAAGGGGCTGTCCATCTTGGGTTCCAATATACAGAAAAGGCAGGTGGAGTAGTTACGTCAGTGGGTCAAGAGGATGGGCCCCCCACCCTGGTTGGGGCTTCAGGTCATTTCCCATGTCATGACCACACCTACTTGAGTGGTTGCAAGTCAAAACAAGGCACTCCAACTCGAGGCAACATTGTGGATCACTTCCCATGGCAGGATTATGTCACCGTTATCTGTTGCCTGCCCAGGAACCCACAGCCACGGGAGACTTGTGGAGCTACCCAGAGGAGGCTCCTTCCTTCATAAAGATACATAACCCAAGACCCAATGTAGAGGGACACAGCACAGCTACCTGATGGGGCACAGGCTCCTTTCTCTTGTGTTTTCTCATCTTTACTTTGATTACCAAAACTAGAAAAATGAGGAAAAGAAGAGCAACAAGTGCACGAATTAGGTGATAAGCTACTGCATTTATTCTTGGTTTGTTATCACCTGACTTTAGGAAAAATCTATTCCCTAAGGAGAAAATGTAAGGGTTCTCACGTTAGGTTTGATATTCAAATCCAAGGCAGACATTACTCTTCCACAAAAGAAAAAAGATCACCAACCACAAGATCCTGTTTTCATTTTTCTGTGTGTGTGTGAGGAAGATTGGCCATGAGCTAACATCTGTTGTCAACCTTCCACCTTTTGCTTGAGGAGATTGTCACTGAGCTAACAACTGTGTCAATCTTCCTCTATTTTATGTGTGATGCTGCCACAGCATGGCTTGACAAGTGGTGCCACGTCTGCACCCGGGATCCGAACCTGCAAACCCTGGGCCGCCGAAGCGGAGAGCACAAACTTAACCACTATGCCACGGGGCCAGCCCCCCATTTTCATTTTTTAAATGTATTTTTTAAATGTCTGGAAGAATATATGCAAAAAATTAAATATCTCTGATGAATTACAGGTGATTTTTATTGATTTTATTTTTTGGTGACTTGTTTTTTCTAAATTTTGTACAATAAACTTGAATTACATTTATAATATGAGAAAAAAATTAAAAATAGATATACTGAATTTAGTCCTAAAATCTATTAGACAGGCTTTTTAATTTAGCAAGAAAGAGACTTAGGTGGGTTACTTTCAGTGATTTTTTTTTTACATAAAAAAGACTTCCCATCAAGTTGGCTCATCAGCTGGCCTGTCACCACTCTGGAGCCAGAGTCTCACAGACTGGCATATAGAGCACGTCTCCCTGAGAATTAGTTCAGTTAAACAGTAATATCCTCGGGGAACTGCAGTCCAGGTAAATGACTAATGTTATGACTCAGAATTTATCATAGATCTATAATTTTTGAACAAGAGGGAAATTCTTTTCAGGTTGTGTTCAGCCTTAAAAATTGCTTTCTGGGGCTGGCCCAGTGGCGCAGCGGTTAAGTTCGCACGTTCCGCTTTGCTGGCTCAGGGTTCGCTGGTTCAGATCCCACATGCGGACCTATGCACTGCTTGTCACGCCATCTGTGGTAGGCGTCCCACATATAAAGTAGAGGAAGATGGGCTAACAGATGTTACCTCAGGACCAGTCTTCTTCAGCAAAAAGAGGAGGATTGTTGGCAGATGTTGGCTCAGGGCTAATCTTCCTCAAAATAAATAACATTGCTTTCTGCTGGCCCAGGAAGGAGGAGATATCAAAATCTTTCACCTATTGTGAAGGTCAGAGAGAGTTGAAGCTCAGAGATAGAGAAACTGAGAATTTTTTGCAATTCATATAAAAATTCCTGGGACCAAGGAAATGATCAACTTGAAACAGATTGATATTTGAGTGACAAAAGATAGAGAATGAGGATGCAATCCCTAAGAAAGAAGAGAGACAGGGATATCTTACTGTTTCTTAGGAGGAAGGGATTGGATTTTAACATCAGAGCCACACTGTGTGTCTCACGTTGAATGGTCCATGACTGGGCCCACAGTAAGGGCTTATGTTCCGTACGAGCTGAAACGTCGGGGATGCCTAGCGGGCCCATGGGCCAACTTCAAGCTGTTGTTCACATCGGGGACTAAGGAGCCTCATGGCATGGAAAACTGACTGGACATTTTGAGAAGGCTCACTGAACTCTGGATCTAAAAATCCCTAAGCCAGAGGAAAACAAAGGTTGCCTCTTGACCCCCTCCTCTCACCCGGCCTGGGCAGTGTAGGGGTGGAGCAAAGTTCCCGGAGGAAGCAGGAGAGCGGCTGTCAGAGCTCCCTCAGGCACAGAAGTTCAACGGCCGGTGCCCAGCTGGCTGCCAGGCCAGCCCCATGTGGACCAGTTCTGCAAATTACAGGGAGAGACGGCGGTATAACAAAGAGCAAATGACTAATAGTAATAAGGAAACACTCAAACAAAAAATCTAACAGCCCAAGGCAGCACAGTTGTGAAACCTTGCAGTGTACTTCGGAGGGGCATCTCCTCCCTTCACTTCAGAAAGAGAAATTTGGTGTGGAAAGGAGCGAGGACGACGAAACACACTGAGGATCAAGAGAGAATCGTAACAAAGTGGGCAGTGGAGGAAAATGGGGCCCCACGGGCTCTGCAGGCGACTTTGTGGCCGTGGAGTGAAGGACTTCCTCTGGCCGGTAGTATGGTGGGCTGCAGCAGAGAATATATTTCTTCTTCCACTGTCGCTTGTGGGACATGCTGCAGCTCTGCTCTGGCTCAAAGAGGAGATGAGAGGGGCTGAAGACCCTGGAGCTACACCTGCGGACAAACTTGGGAATTACTCTTATTTCTCTTAGAAAGACTGAATTGTGGTGGGGCCTGGGCAAACACCTTTTCAGCTAGTGGCTTTGATTACTCTCCAATGGTATATTCTGTTGTCACTCATAAACGATGTAATAAAAGGACTCCTCCATGTATTGTTGGGCATCTTAGCTAGGTGTTTCCACTGGAAAAGTTCTGTGAGCTTTCTAGCGCCCACCTTCATGTAAGGCCGTTGGTGGGAGGGTGATTAGTATCCCTCTTATGAAAGCAACTGCACTATGTAGAACTCATGAGTTTTAAAGGCATTTTTACTCTTTGTATGATAATTCCGTTTTTGGAAACAAAGAAATAAATGCTAAATGCAAAGCTATGTGCACAAAGATGTTTATGATTGTGTTACTTATAAAAGTCAGAAAACTTCTTTCAGTCTAAATTCTGGAAAACTGGAGATGGTTTAATTAAGTAAATTATGAAAATCCACACGATGGATGTAATGAAACTATTAAAATGATGGTTATAAAGTTTTTTATGTCATTGGGATATGTCTATGATATAATTTTAAGAGGGGTAAAAAGCAAGCTAGTAAACTTTAATACACGATATAAACTCTCAGCTACATAAAACACTATGCATTATGCATAGAAATAGGAAACAGATTAAAAATCATCTCTCAGTGATAAGGTTATGTTTGATTTTTATTCCTTTTTCTTTCACTTTTTAGATCTTATTTTCCAAGTTTCCATGTAAGCGTGTAATTAATTTTTAAAAAGAAATGTATATGTATATGTGCGTGTGTGTGCACATATGCATATATACTTCTATGTACACATACGAGTGCACACACTTTTGGGGTCTTGACAGGAAAGCAACTGGCTCTTGCACAATGGCTGCCATGTGTGTTACAAGCTCACTATTCTTACCGATTTTCCTTTTTTAGCTTGAATAACAGCTGTAGATCCATTTGTTTTATTCCTTTTATTTCCTCTCCCTGTAAAAACACACACCACATACACAGCACACTCAAACAGAAATGCACCCACACACATGGCTGAAATCTTTGTGGACAGGAACCTGAGATCAAAGGGTAAAGAATATAAAATTCCCCTTTAAATGTTTCCCCTCTCTCCCTTCCTTTCTTCCTCCCTCTTTTTCACTTCCCTCCTGGCTCTCATTCCTCCACTGTGGGGCCTGTGGCATGAGGAGAGAATGAGAAAGACAGGCCTGGGGGTGGGGACAGAGATGCCAGCAGATTTCCTTGTCAGGATTAGAGGGTAGTCCGTGTCAGCAAGCAACGAGCCCAAAGCTGCTGCGATGGGGCCCAGGGAGCGATGGAGAAGGGCCTGGGAGGCAGAGAGCTTGGATTAGATGAGACAGGCCATTTGGAGCCCAGTAGATTCCCCAGCAGGGAGCACCAACATTCCAGAGAAGGCCCACTAAGGAAGCCCAGGGCCAAGGTGCAGGCCTGGCCTGCCAGCCTGTCCTGTCTCCCAAGTGCCAGGAAACATGAGACTGGCGCAGAGTCGTTCTTTTTCTGTGGGTCGAAGGGGCTCTTTCCTGCTCCCTTCCCCAGCATCCTGGCTTCGTGTAAAACAGAGGTCACAAGCTCAAAGGCCCCAGGATTGGGCTGTTATGTAAGAGAGGCAGGCCAAGTGATGAACACAGAGCGACAGGGACCGAGCCTGCCGGGGAGGGCTCGCTCTCTGAAGTGGCTCGGCGCACTTTCCAGCCAGCACTTTCGCTCAGCGGGCATGAGGCTGAGGGTTGCAGGTCTTCCAATTTTACAAGGGAAGCTGAAAATGTAGAAGAGCTGGGAATTCTCCACGTGTGTGTGCGTATGTGTGTGTGTATAAGAGATCTCGATTTTTAAAACATTGGCTCAACTAAAAAAAAGACAGCATTGTGTAGACCAAATACACCATGTCTGCTGACTGGATTTAACCTATGGGCCACTGTTTCGGGAATCTCTGAAATAAACCATGTAACGCTGCCTCCTTCCTTCCCTTGCAGCTAGTAAGGAACATGATACCTCCTAGAAAGAGACATATATTTACTTCCTATTGCATGCACAACAGACCCTGGATACCATAAGGATACATGAGAAATGCCAAGTTATTCTCTGCCTTCTAGGAGCTTCAAGTGTCATTGAGGCATGAGA